CTTCGGCAACACACCTCCTACCACACTACTTAGCGAACCTACAGCTGTAAATATTGGCGTATATTAATTTTAATCAAGTGTCAACAGAATGAAACACTAGAAACCCAATGCACGTAAAAGATCTACACAAAAAGTATGTAAGATGAAGATATTGAGATGAGAGCTAATCATGATGATTATGATGATGATAATACATATTGTAAAACGATAAACAAATATGAAAATGAATAAGAACATACAAGAAGAAAAGAGAAAGAAAAAAAAACAAATAAAAACTTATATAAAGAATACGAAAAGAAACAAAAATTATATTTATTTAAAAGTACGCGTATTGAAAAGCAAGCAGATATTAATATTAAATAAAACGACAAACAAAGTTAAACACAAATCGTTGCCGACGTTTAATTTAGTCACATTTATTGCATTGTATGTGCATATACACATATGCATATGCACGTATGTTAACTAGCAACTGACAATGGAATGTGCGAATACAACTTGGGGCAATCCTGCTTACGATCTAGTATATGTATATAGATAGGCCTATGCAATTACTTATGTATGTACACACAACTACATAAAAATCAAAATTAGACTTTACAATTGCATTATTAAGTACATGGCAAGTGGCGCGAGCGCGTCTTAAATCAAGTCGAGCTTCAGCTCTAAGTCTACGTCGTAGTTGTCCAGTGCGGTTTTGTTGACGAATCCAAAGTTCCACTGCATTAAACGGTTCTTCTCATTGCAAGCGTTGACCACCAGCTCCTCGGTGTCCGGCAGGAGCTCCATGCACCGCTTGCCCTCTTTGCCGTGCTTAATCAGCTTGGTGTGGTAATCGTAGTACCAATACTGATTGCCTTGCTGCCCGTGGCAGTCCCACAGCCAAACGGGCGCGTTTGCATCCCATATCTGGACGTCGAGGCAGTCCTTCTTCCGGTGCAGCCGCAAGTCCCGCTTCCAGCTGAGCGACCAGTACTGCGTGCGCTGTGGCTTCACCAGATTTCGTGCACACGGGTATATGCCTACCCGATTGTGACGGGGCTTGCTAAGCGTATCCACGCACAACGTGGGGTCGCCCACATTCTGGATGGCGCCACTGGCGTAGTCGGGCGGATCGACGGGCGGATAGTTCTTTATCAAGTCAAAGGCCACATTCTCCATGAACCACTTGAACGATTTGCACTTCAGTTTCGTCCGTATGGCTTTTTGTGCCGTTAGATCACCTGCGTCTACACGCTCGTAGATGCCATCTGCGCCGTTGTACAAGTAGTGCTTGTATTCATCCATCCAGACCTCAGCCACGCGCTTGTAGTTCTATTTATGGTATATCATATCTTATACTGCAACTGATATCTGATAAGAGTTATTCAATTACTCACTTTGTGCAAATAGTCGCCTCCGCGTGGATTCGACACGTGATTGCGTGGACCGCGATATATGTGGCCTATTCGGGAGCAGGGCGCATCGTACATCTGTCCACCACACATCCAGATTTTGAAGCTCAGCTCGTACTGCTCACCGCCCCAAATGTCCAGTCCCTCATCGTAGCCCCCCAGCTCCCAGAAGAACTCGGCGGAAATGGCAAAAAGACCGCCCGCCATGACAGGACTTTTGAACGGCTCCGCAGGATGTTTCAGATCCTCGGGGAGCAGCGGCAGACGTTTGTAGAAAAAGTCCCAGTCGAAAGCACCACGCGCGCCCTCATCTTGGGCTCGATAGTTAAAATTACTGTGGTCAATCACGTCAATGAACGGACAGACGGCAGTGCGTTTGTTTTGAGCAATCGGCTCCAGCAACGGTGGCAGCCAATTGTAGTTGGCCTCGACGTGCGAGTCCAGAAATATGAGCACTTCGGCAGTGGCGTTCCGGGCACCCGCAGAGCGAGCACCGATCAAGCCCGTCCGCCGTGGCAGCCGCACGATGCGCACTTTATTAAAATGCTCGGCAATGTAATCCTCCAGCGGCTTGAAGAGATAGGCTCGATCACTGAAGTCGTCCACGAGGATGATCTCCTTGAGCAACTCCGGTGGCGATCGGTTGATCAGACTGTGCACGGACCGCATGAGCACAGACATGTACTCGTTGTAAAAGATGATGACTACGGACACCGTAGGAAGCTTGCTGAGATACAACTTCTTGCGGCAGCTGTTTGCAAAGAGAAGAGCGAATTAGAAACGAGAACAAAAATTGAATCAAATACTGAATTGGTACGTACTCCTTATGCCGTATGTCAGGAACAGAGCGATTCACAGAAATGGAGTCGGAGAGCAGCGCATTGAAGCCGTTCTCGAGCGAGAGAGTCTTCTCATATTCCCGCTGACTCTCGTCTTCCAGCTTCGCCGCCACGCCCTGCTCGCCGATGCCAACGCGCTTTCTGTCACGCTCTATTGCCGTGTAATCATGCCAGTCTCTCTTGAGCAGATGGTCGTCGGGTGCTGCCACTTGAAGATTGTCGTCTTCTTTTGCTTTGGCCTTTGCATCGACTTCCTCGAGATCAGACTGGTCTGCCTCATCCTCTGCATCGTCCCCCTTTTCAAGCTCCGCCACTAATTCGTCCCTCGGCACAATGATTTTCTTTTTATGATTTGGCTCAGGCAATTGGACATCTCTCGCCGCTTCCAAATGTTGCTCGGCGACCCTTGCTGCTGGCTTTAAGGGCTCCGGTTGGATGCCATGATGTATCGGCTTATTCGTGTACGGCGTAGACGAAATCCAACTCGTGATGAGAAGGAAGAGCATCAGCGAGAGCAACGCCAAAATTGACGACTTGATAATCCATTTGATATTCGGCCGACGCATACTGCTAGATTATTTATATTTTTCTACACTACGGATGGATACGTGGCTGGCTACGCTGCCTGCGGTCCACTGCTGGAACTGATGCTAACACAGATACTCATGGGCAAGGCAAACTCAAGAATGTTTCATATGTGTTAGCTCAGCTGTTGTTTGTGTTTGTTCCGCACGCTCGGTTTTGACTACCAGCTGAAAGATTAGAGCAGCGAAAGAACACGTAGAATAACGTGCTACGAATTATGAACACAGTATGGAAAAGATAAAAATAAATATTGTTTTTTTTTTGTCTGCAGCATAGCATAAGAAAGCCCGCATTTTAGCACACATTTATTTTATCCGAAACAGGTTTATTAAAACACTGGATTTTCATTAGCTTCAACGTTCTACGCTGTGTATCACCAATTTATATACAGTTTTTATGCTTCGACAGCGACTATGAGCCATGGGGCCGACCTTGTAGCCCAAGCCGTACTTCATAACATGTCAAGAACACACCTGTGAAGGTCTCCGATGCAAACCCTATGACGTAGTGCTCTCTCTTAGAGTTAATGACCGTTACAACTATTATTTACAGTAATATTAGGAGCAGTACTAAATTTGTAGTACAGCTAATACTATTCAAAAGTACCACTTCTACGCCTACTCTGAATTCTCGTGCTACGAATTTCTCTTAATGACAACTGGCTCTACTACTACTTCAAATACAACTACATAATTCAATATTACCACTATTACTGTAACTAATTGATTCGACTACTGCTTCTGTGGTACTACTATTAATGTCAACACTAAAACTAATTATAATTCATATTTAAAAAGCTTACTTGATTTACCGAATCTTTTGAATAGCCTACTTCTGTTCAGTGTGAGCGTTATAGAGAACTGAGAAAACGGCACCGCTCGAGGTTCTCAAAATATGCCCCCCCGCTCATGCACTCACTCATGTGTGTGAGTGTGGGTTCTACTACATTGCGAGGCAATTACACAAAAAGCAAAAGCAAACAAAACATTTCACTGATAAGCGGCAACGACGCGTCGCGACGTCGACAACGACAACGACAACGACAACGTTGACATTTTCGACTGGCAGCCGAAAATAGTTGCTTAGTTAAGATAAATTCCAAATGGCAGGCCACTTCCGGTATTTTAAAGTGAAAGCAATTGAAGGCACGTACATAGATAAAATGCATCAAATTGCCAATTGTTTGAATGGATGTAATAAGAGAATTTTGTTTACTTTTCCGTTTGTTTTGCTTTGTTTTTGGTAGTTTGCCACATGATCAGTTTTTATGTTACCTGTCAACTATCGCCATTGGAAGAATGCCACTGATTGTTGATTTTTTATTCGAAATGCCGAAGTTAAGGTTGGCTACGAATCTATACAACAAATTCCTTCCACGTCCACCAAATATGTCTTCTTCTATTTGGTCAGTGATTTGGATTAACAATTGCTGCTGCTTCTTGAATACGACTTGTTCTTTTGCTATTCACCACGACGCGCTGCCAACCAAATCAGCTGCCGCATGCTCGCGAATCGCGACTCACCGGCAACAACAATCAACAATCAAATATACCAAATGATTTCGATTTCTATTTTGTTTATTGTGGTAAAGTGTGGTACACCTTATTACAGTAATTCAATAATTGTGGTTCAGTGTCTACTAGATAGCTATTTTCAACATTTTCAGCACTTCCTCCTTATATTTGGCTATGTTGTACTCATTTTCGCCCTCGTTTATCAACTTCTCCACGCTGTCAGCATAGGTAGCACTGGGTGCTTGCTTTTCCCCAGTTGCGTTCCAATTGAGGATTGCCTCAGCAGAAACCTTTGCCTTATTCCGTTCAAAGAGATAGACCTCCATGTCGGCCTCTGACTTGCTATCTTCCCATGGCTCCGTAATGAATGACTCGTGGTAACATGCTGTCAGCAAATACAAAGCATAGTCGTAATTCTGCTTGCGCGTCGGACAGCGATCAGCGACAAATGTTAGTACTCCAGTCTCCTGGTTGTACCGATCGCCCACGAGACGTAGAAATTTGTCTTTAGCATGAGCATCAAACTTTAAGTCGGTCAGTTTCAGCGTTATTGTGACGCGACGAGCCTCCGGATGCCGTATTGTCGGCAGACTGTGGCAATAGTCCGTAGTGACGACTTCTACGGGGAAGATAGCCTTCCAGGTGGCTTCCGATTCTAGTCCCTTCGGCCACGGTGTGCAAAACTTTTTGATTGCCTCGCATTGCTGACGTATGGCCGGTGGCGTTAAATGCAAGAAATTTGGTATTTTCATTAGCTCCGCATTGGCGTACTTTGAGGGAGCAGCTGCTCCTCGCTCTGTGTAGCCTTGGCGCAAAGGCAGCGGTACGCTGGCAGGGTGAAAAGAACGGGGTCCCGACCAGACAGCTGTCCAATCTTGATCTACAGGCATATGCGTTGTCCGCGGAGGCGGTGCCACCTCCTTCTTTATTACACGCTTGCGTGCCTGTTGTTTGACAGTACGTAGATTGAGCACCCGGAATTCTGCAAGCACAAGTAAGTTCAATCTTATGATTGTTTACCATCTATTCGGTTTACCCTCATCGTCTTCCACCGACTGCTCCGATTGCTGCTGCTGGCTGCTAAATACCCGCAAAGTGCGTGAAGCTACGCCGGCATTGTTGCTTCGTATGCTACTCTCAAGCAATCGTACTAAATTAGTTGCCATGGTTAATTTAATTTTATTGAAGATTATTAGAACCAGCCAATTGCTAGTTTTTATAGAAAACTTAACAAATAAAGTTTACGTAAACCATGCGACTGCGAAGCGACATTCACCACAACAGCCAACACATCAGCTGTTTTAGTATCGATACCAAGTACAAAGGAGGTGCAATGCGAATGAGTGTATAGAAAACAGGAGGGGGATGGGCAAATATATATGCAATTAAGAGTTTGATTGTAGTCCAAGGTCAAATGCTGCCCAATCGTTTAGTAATATGAGACAAATATAGCCGCTAAAGAGCTTGGTGGTATTGATTTACTGCTATCGCATCGTATACTCCTGATTGGCCATTACAGTCTATCACTTATCAGCGCATTAATGCTGCTGCCTGATGATAAGCCAAGCAACAGTCGCTTGTATCTCACGACTCTGTGAACAAGCAAATAAATCAGTTTTGCTTAGTTGCTTATAAACGACTAGCCGGTTATAGTAGCGCCGTTATTGCACTGATATTTGAGTTCTTACAGATCAAAAGTCTCATAATTACAAAATGACTACGACAGGTGTTAAGCGGGTGCTCTCCATTCAAAGTCACGTAGTGCACGGCTATGTGGGCAATAAGGTGGCTACCTTTCCCCTCCAGGTAGGTGACGCATGCACTATTAAATTTTTAGTATATTTGCATTGGGCAATATCCAATTTTCTTTCTTTAGCTTCTCGGCTTCGATGTGGATCCGTTGAATTCTGTCCAGTTTTCAAATCACACAGGCTACAATTGCTTCAAGGGTCCAATATCTACTGAAAAAGAATTGGGTCAGTAGTTGTTTATTAACATAAATAGTGCAGTCTTATGCTAACAAGTTGCTTACTTTGTAGCGAACATATTCGAGGGTCTGGAGGAGAATAAGTTACTGGGTCACTACTCCCATTTACTGACGGGCTACATCGGCAATCCCTTGTTTCTGCGTCAAGTTGGAGAGATTCTGCGAAGGATCCGCATAGCAAATCCCGATCTGATCTATGTATGTGACCCCGTCATGGGCGACAATGGCAGCATGTACGTGCCCAAAGAGCTGCTGCCCGTGTATCGGGACGAGATCATTCCTTTAGCTGACATCGTGACGCCCAACCAGTACGAAGTCGAACTGCTCACAGGCAAGGAGGTTCGCAGCGAGGCGGCTGTTTGGGAGGCGATGGATTGGTTCCACGAGCGCAAAATAAAGACGGTTGTTATTTCCAGTAGCGACTTGGGTCAGCCGGGCATTCTTCGCGCGTTCTTGAGCCAGATGAATGGGCCAAGGCTAGCTATCGATATACCCAAGCAAGGAGACAAGGATCTGTTTTTTACTGGCACCGGTGATCTCTTTGCCTCACTCTTTCTGGCTCACAGCCATGCCAGCGGCGATGTCACCGAAGCGTTCGAAAAAACCATTGCCACCCTGCAGGCCGTAATCAGGCGCACAGTCGAGCAGATGCCCGGACAACGGTCCAGTGGATCTGTTCAGGCCTGGGAGCGAGAGCTAAAACTCATTCAAAGCAAATCGGAGATCGAACACCCGAAGGTAGTGCTCAAAGCCCAACGCCTCAACTAGAGCAGCACAGTGCGCACTCAACGAAACGGACAATACAATGAACAATACTTATCTAATCCAAATATACATGCCAGAATATTAATGCCCCTTACAGTCGACTCAACTAGTTTTTTATTGTGCATACTTAATAGATGCCACGTTTGTTTACACTGGTGACATCTCAAAAAATCACTGAACTACGGCGCGAGAAGTGCTCGTGCTCCACTATAAATACTAGATATGGCTCTCAAGCAGTCAAACAGTTGACGTCATGCAGTTGCCCATTCTCCTTGCAGTCTGCTGCGCCGTGGCCTGCGCCAGCAATGCACAAGATGCAACGGACAAAGCCTATTCACCGCGCTACACTCTATTGGCCGAGAGCAAGCGAAAGGATCAGGACCTTGGACCTGCTCGAACTGATGTAGCTGCCAGTGAAAAGCAACCTTGGCGGCGCTTGGCCTATGCCGGCTTTGGCGGTCAGCCAAGTAACTGGCTAGGCTCTAGTTCGGTCGGAGCGCTCGCGGCGCCAATCGGACCCGGTCTCATGCTGCTGGGTCTTAATCTAGGCGCTCTTCTTTGCATGCTATTGGGATTACTAGGACTGGGCCCATCTTACCGAGTCGGTCCATGGCACACAGGCGATATTTACCGGAGCGATAGACACAATTTAGGTGGGGACAAGGAAACGACATTGTATTTATAAACTTCAAGCCTTTCTCACAGGTTTACGCACAGCTTATAAAAAATGATTTAAATTTACATAATATATATTATAGTGATTATTTAGGGTTTTTACAGAACTAAAAGCAGTAAATTAAAATCGTTGAACTTGCATAAAGAAACCGAAATTGAAAATAAACGCTAACACAATGCAATTAAGATCAATTATTTCTTTACGCGAAATGAGGCAGCCCGATTTATTCTTACTACCGGCGCCTCCTTGACGCCCGAGCCAATGGTGCCGGCAAGACGGGAAATGGGTTTGCGCGCCGACGTCGTGGTGCCGGCGAGAGCTGTGTTAAATATAATAGAGAATACTTATTTAGTAAAATTGTAGACTTATTTTGGGATTTCTGACTCACTCTTAGCAATGAGCGCCCGCGGACTTTTCCGCACGCAGTTCGATGGGAACTTTAAATTCTCTTTCTGTATCGCAGCCGCGCATGTGCGCTGCAATCCTTGAGTTGTAAACTTGTTAGACTTGAGCAGAGCTGAAAGAACGAGCAGAAGGTCAGGATAAGATTGCAGCCACTTCACTTGAATCCGCAGCTAACCTTGTTTAACCTTGTCTCTGTCTGCAGATCCGCAGACGTTCTGATCCGACAGCAAATCCGATACCATGCGTTGATTGACCAGGGGTCTAGATTTGGTGACAGTCGCCGTCAACGCCTTGCGGGAGTTCATGTTGCCGGAAATTACTTGAGTGACGTCTAGGTTGCGTGGCTTCTTAAAGGCCTGCTGCCCATCCTCTCCACTGTCCGTGTCGGAGTCCGTATCTTCAAAGCTGTCCACGCCCAGGTGAAGTACAAACTCGCTATTGGTTAGCGTGTGCGTGTAGCGCCGGTCGCGACTGCGCTTCTTGGCGCTGTTGGTCAATGCTAATGGCGACATATTCTCCTGCTGCTGCTCGGCGAGAAGCGCATCGAGTTCCAAGTCGTGCGCCGATAACTCTGTTTCGGATGCTGAGAAATGCATCCTTCGCTCAAGTCGCTCGTATACACCTTGTATTTCTGGCGTCAGTTTCTGTGTCTCCTCCAAGCGGTTGTATAACTGATGCAGGACATCGCACATCATGGATATGGATTTGCGTAAAAGGCTCGCATTTTCGGCTTGTTCATTGTTAATACTGGTTAAATGACTACAGTTTATCTGCTGCTTGGACAGTTGCACTTCCAGATCCTTGTTACTTAGGTAAATGCTCAAGATTTGGTGATATTTCGACTCCTTCACTTCAACCTTCAGCTTTTTCAGATTTAGGCAAGCAATCTCAAGTTTACTGCGCCAATGAGGCAGCTCATCAGTATACTTTTGATTTCTTGTGTTTAATGTCGTCATGTAGTCTGTAAATAATTTAAAGTCCTGGAAAATAAAAATAAGAAATAGATTGTTACAAAAAATTAAATACAACTAACAGAAAATTCTTGTGTACTATAAAAATTTATCATAATAATAAAAATAAAAAAAACAAGTAAGAAGACTCTAGTCGAGACTGCTCGACTAGGAGATACCCTGAACCCTCCA